CTAACATTGCAGCAAATCAGATTCAGTGTTTTAAATGCACATAGCTAAGTAACGTTTTTGGAGGAGCTAAAAAGATGGAAAATACTTTCACAGTTGGAAATCAGTTCGTAGTTGGAAATCAGTTCACCATTGGGAAATCCACATTACTATTTCATTATATTAAAAGATTAAAGGAGTGCAGCTACATTTGTGGTCGTCTGCATTTCAGCAGGCTTGCGGAAAACTGATCTGTTCTATTTTGAATCATTTGCACTTGAATTGATGTCTAAAATAAGATTTGTTTGGGGAAGATATTGGAGAATAAAAATAAAGGACAGCACTTTGAGTATTAATCTTAGAGATTGTTAATACGTTAAGCAGATGACTTACGGAAAGTGAATTACACATCTCGTTACTTGTAACATATTACCATACCTTTCATTCACAAGGGCTTTTTCATTCTTTCAACACATTTTTATTGAGCCTTTGCAATCAGTATGTGCTAAGTCCATCTGCTAGATCTTGGGACTTCAGTGGTGAAAAATTAGATGTGGTGCCGCCTTTATGCAAGATTGAGTCTAGTGGTGAATACAGATAAATAACCAATTACCAGAAACTGTGCCAAATGCCATGATAGCACAGAGAAGTTCCCTAAACAGGGAAAGGAAAGGAATGTGTTACAGAAAGCTTACTGGACTCTCTAAGCTGAAACCTGAGGGCTAGTTAGGAGTTAGCTAGGTGCAGTTGGAGTGGGAGAGGAAGTTTCAGTTGTAAGCAAAGGGAACAGCATTTACAAAAGCATAAATACAAGAAATAACGTGGTTCATTCAAATAATTAAAAGCTCATTATGATTTAATTAAGGGACTGGGATAGGAGTAGGGGTGGGGTGAAAGCTACTGAAGGATTCTAAGTAGGGAAATAATCTGATAGATTGACAACCTTAGATTAATTGCTTATACTTTGGCTAATGAAATGGAGGATATTAAGACTGAAGGCAGGAGACTGATCAGGACATTAAACTAAGAGAAACTGGTAGCTGCTAAGGAGGTAGAATCAATAGGGCTGTGGGAGGAGAGAGAATTGAAGGATTATACTCAGGTATCTGGTTTGGTCTGTTAGTTGATGGTAGTATTCTCTAAGGTGGAGAATCTAGGAGGTGCAGCAGGGTTGGGAAGGAACCTGAGTTTGTTTATGAACACACTGTTATTTTATTTTTATTTTTTTGAGACGGAATCTCGCACTGTCACCCAGGCTAGAGCGCAGTGGCATGATCTTGGCTCACTACAACCTCAGCCTCCTGAGTTTAAGCAATTCTCCTGCCTCAGCCTCCCAAGTAGCTGGGATTACAGGTGCCCACCACAATGCCTGGCTAATTTTTGTATTTTTAGTGGAGATGGGATTTCACCATGTTGGCCAGGCTGGTCTCGAACTCCTGACCTCAGGTGATCTTCCTGCCTCGGCCTCCGAGAGTGGTGGGATTACAAGTGTGAGCCACCGCGACTGACCTATTATTTTATTTTGCTTATTTTATTTTATTTTATTTATTTATTTTTTTGAGATGAAGTCGTACTCTGTCGTCTAGGCTGGAATGCAGTGGTGCCATCTCAGCTCACTACAATCTCTACCTCCTGGGTTCAAGTGATTCTCCTGCCTCAGCTTCCTGAGTAGCTGGGATTGCAGGCATGCGCTCCCACACCTGGCTAATTTTTGTATTTTTAGTAGAGATGGGGTTTCACCATGTTGGCCAGGCTAGTCTCGAACTCCTGACCTCAAGTGATCCTCCTTGGTCTCCCAAAGTGCTAGGATTACAGGCATGAGCCACCATGCCTGGCTTGAACACACTGTATTTTAAAAATACCGGTGGAAGGTCCATGTCCAATAGGTGATTTGATGTATTATATATCTGAAGATGAGAACTGCATTTGGGTTGGAGGTGAACATTCGGATACGTTATCCAGGCTGATCAGACCTTCTATGTAAACACAAACTATGCTTCATCCTTATCTACCATGAGCATAAGGGAGGATAAACACTTGAAATGTTTCTTAGCATTAGGCACATTACCATCATGAAGTTGTGCTGAAAGAGAGGAGGAATTGAAAGCTGAAGAAATTCATGTCTGTATCAAAGTCCCTGCTAAGTTTTATTTTCTCTCACAGTTCCAGGAGGGTCAGATGGCCCAAGTGGAGTACTGATCTGCTCTGAAAACTATATTACTTACAAGAACTTTGGTGACCAGCCAGATATCCGCTGTCCAATTCCCAGGAGGCGGGTAAGATCTTTGATATGAGAAGAGAGATATTTGTGTTTTAATTTTTGTGATTACAGTGTAGTCTCTTAGTTTGTTACCAAGTTAGTTTTTTTGTGAAGTAAAAAAAAAAATTCAGTGACCGCGGGACAGGGACATAAATGTTGTTTTTAATAAAGCTGCTAAAATATTTTAGTAAAAGCCAAACAAATTCGTTTAGAAAGGGAATTAAAACTAATCTAATATCTATTTCAGAGGAACCTATGGACAGTTATTAATTTGAAATTCCTGAACGTTTCTAGTTTGGAGAAACCAGGCATATTTGTTAGAGATAGGTTGCCTTTTATTCTGTTTTGCTTGTTTTTTTCCAACATTTTTATTTTGAAAATTCCAAAATACAGAAAGTTTAAAAACAATAGAACAATGAATTCCCGCATGCCTATCATTTAGATTAATCAGTTATTAATATTTTGCTACATTTGTTTTTTCTTTTTCATGATATGTCCGTATGCTTTTCTAGGCTAAGCAATTTGAAAAGAAGTTACAGGCATTATGATGCCTCACTCCAATAATCTTCTGAGATGACTCCCGAGAACAAGGACATTTTCCTATATAACCAGATTGCCAATATTATACCCAAGAAATTGTAACATGTTGTGTAGTACCGTTACCTTATGTTTAGTTCATATTCATATTTCTGTCATCCCAAAAAGTTCCTTTGTAATTGGCCTTTAGTCTCCCTTAGTTTGGGATATTTCCCTCTCACCTTTTTTTTTTTTTTTTTTTTGAGATGGAGTCTCGCTCTGTTTCCCTGTTTCCCATACTGGAGTGCAGTATTGTGATTTTGGCTCACTGCAACCTCAAGTGGTTTTCCCACCTCAGCCTCCCAAGTAGCCAGGATTACAGGCGTTCACTGCCACACCCGGCTAATCTTTTTTGTATTTTTATTTTTTGTATTTGTATTTTTAAATTTTTATTTATTTCTTTATTTTATTATTATTTTTTATCTCTGCTTATTGCAGTCTCCACCTCCTGGGTTCACGCGATTCTCCTGCCTCAGCCTCCCGAGTAGCTGGGACTACAGGTGCCCACCACCACGCCTGGCTAATTTTTGTTTGGTATTTTTAGTAGAGATGGCGTTTCACCATGTTAGCCAGGATGGTCTCGATCTCCTGACCTCATGATCCGCCCACCTCGGCCTCCCAAAGTGCTGGGATTACAGGCGTGAGCCACCATGCCCCGCCTTATTTATTTATTTTTGAGACTGAGTCTCTCGCTCTGTCACCTAGGCTGGAGAATAGTGGCTCAATCTCGGCTCACTGCAAGCTCTGCCTCCTGGATTCACTCCATTCTCCTGCCTCAGCCTCCCGAGTAGTTGGGACTACAGGCATCTGCCACGCGCCCGGCTACTTTTTGTATTTTTAGTAAAGACGGGGTTTCACCGTGGTCTCGATCTCCTGACCTCATGATCCGCCCGCCTCAGCCTCCCAAAGTGTTGGGGTTACAGGTGTGAGCCACCGCACCTGGTCCCCTTTTTGTATTTATAGAGACGGAGTTTGCCATGTTGGCCAGTCTGGTCCCAAACTCCTGACCTCAAGTCGTCTGCCTGCCTTGGCCTCCCAAAATGCTGGGATTACAGGCATGAGGCGCCCTGCCAGTCTGAGCTAATTTTCTTTTTTTTTTTTTTTTGAGGTGGAGTTTTGCTCTGTTGCCCAGGCTCGAGTTCAGTGGCGCAATCTTGGCTCACTGCATCCTCAACCTCCCAGGCTCAAGTGATCCATCTCAGCCTCCCAAGTAGCTGGTACTACAGGCACCTGCTACCATGCCCAGCTAATTTTTGTATTTTTAGTAGAGGTGGGGTTTCACCATATTGGCCAGGTTGGTCTCGAACTCGTGACCTTTTGATCTGCCTGTCTCGGCCTCCCAAGTGTTGGTATTACAGGCCTGAGCCACCGTGCCTGGCCAGCTAATTCTTATAGTCTGTCCCATAGTCCGTTTCCTCATGATTATATTGAGTTTAATGTTTTTGATATAATAAGTGCAGAGGGGGTGATGTATAGGTGATATATATTCTCCACTATGTCACACATTGTGTGTCCATAATGTTGGTTTATCTGATTGAGACATTAACTTGGTCACTTTGTTAAGGTGGTGCCTGCCCATTGTCTTCATTGTAATGGTGTCTTTTCTTTTTTGGTAACTGATAATGAAATTTGATGGTGATCTTTGAGACTAGTGAATGTCCCTCATCCTGAGACTAGTAAATATCCTTCTTCCTGAGATTAGTGAATATCCCTCTTCCCCAGCGTCTTTTCACCCAGTGATTTTGGTGTGGATCCTTTGAATCAGTTATTGCCATCTCTCCCCTCACCCCTGGATTATTTATTTGCTGTTAAATATTTATCTGTCCTGGAGTTGAACTTTAGGATTTAATTTAATCTAATACGTAGTATGTAAGATTCCATCAATATTAGAAAACCTTAGAAGAAATTTGGCAAGTTAAATTCTTCTTGTTAAGGGACGGGAAGTCACTAAGTTAATTAGACGTTGAGACCTAACTATGCCAGGCACCGTACTTGGCTTTGCAATAACAAAGTCTAAAATTCTTGCCGAACTTACTCAGTGAGAGAAATAGAAACTGTTGAAAACGTTAAAAAACGCAAGCCAGGCTCAGTGGTGTTCCTCTGATCCCCAGCTACTTGAGAGGCTGAGGCGGGAGGATCCCTTGAGCCCAGGAGTTAGAGACCAGTCTGGGCAACATAGTGAGACATTGTCTTGAAAAGAAAAAAAATTCAAAATCATATCTAAGAAGGTGCCTTTTAGGAATCGGGCATTTGATGTAGAACACGGTAGTTTGGATGGAGCAGTGCTTCATTCACAGCCTGAAATGATGACTCTTTAAATTTCATGTCTCTTCTCAGACATTTTTCTCTGGAGATAATTTTTGCCTTATGGATCTGATCAGGCTGTAGTGAAATTGGGACTCTTTTGGTTACCCAGAGTTTATTAGATATTTGTAGCAGGAGAATTTTGAGCTGTGGAGTTCCAGTGTTCTGGCTGGCAGGACACTCTGGATCAAAGCTTGTGCCTTTAGGCCTTTAATGTCATGTGTAATCCCTATTGGTAAAGTGCTGAATTCCAGAACTAAGAAGTACCCGTTTCTAAGACGTCGATTGTGTTTGTGTTTTTGACTTTGCTAGAATGACCTGGATGACCCTGAAAGAGGAATGATTTTTGTTTGCTCTGCAACCCATAAGACCAAATCGATGTTCTTCTTTTTGGCTCAAACTGAGCAGGGAGATATCTTTAAGATCACTTTGGAGACAGATGAAGATATGGTAAGTAGATCATGGAAGGACCAGTACAGCTACTCAATGAGATGAGATAGGCAAGACAGGTAATAGTTTACGAGTTAAAATAATGGGAATTAGAAAGTAGTTGCCTTTGGAACCGGTATATGAGTATAGATTTTTCTCTCTGGTTATTAGATTTTTTTGTCTGGTAATCTTACATACAACATAAGAGTGGTAATACCACTTGTAGTGATTATTTTTAGGTGGTAATAATTGGTGTGAAGAAGATAAAGGTCTCTGTTTCTACTGAAAACTGGTAATAAACGTGATCTGTTACTAGTTTTATCTTATGGACGAGCTCTGTGAATAGTTGGGCAATTTCTTAGGGAGCTGTTTGGATCAGGAATTGGCAAACATGTTTTTGTAAAGGCCACATAGTAAATACTTGCAGCTTTTGTGAGCTACGTAGTCTCCGTCTCAACTACTCAACTCTGCCGTTACATATGAAGATAGCCACAGCCAGTAATAATTGACATGACTGGCCCCTGAGCTGAAGTTTGCTGTCCCCTGGTCAGATATGAAATACAGTATTTTATTTGCTACTCAGCCTGTGCTGTCTTATAATATGGGGCTCACTTCACTTGTTTGTACACCAGAATGTTTCTTTTCTCGCCAGGTTACTGAGATCCGGCTCAAGTATTTTGATACTGTACCAGTTGCTGCTGCCATGTGTGTGCTTAAAACAGGATTCCTTTTTGTAGCATCAGAATTTGGAAACCAGTGAGTAATCCTTCTGTTACCCTAGTTCACCCTGGTTGCGATAAAAGTTGGCAGCAGAGTCTGGGTGCAGTGACTCACGCCCGTAATCCTAGTTCTTTGGGAGGCCGAGGCAGGTGAATCACCTGAGGTCAGGAGTTCGAGACCAGCCTGGTCAACATGGTGAAACCCCATTTCCACCTAAAATACAAAAATTAGCTGGGTGTGGTTGCTGGCACCTGTAATCCCAGCTACTCGGGAGGCTGAGGCAGTAGAATCACTTGAATCCGGGAGGTGGAGGTTTCAGTGAGCTGAGATCACGCCACTGTACTCCAGCCGGGGTAACAAGAATGAAACTGTATCTCAAAAAAAAAAAAAAAAAGGGTTGATAGTAGGAAGGTGTGACTTTGAGGCTTAGGGAGCTTTTCACAAGAATGTGTTAGTTCTTTCAAAAGAAAAGTTTGTTTTCTCCCTTTAGAGTCTTTCTTTGTCTTACCTTCCTTTATTTTAGTGGCTTGAGTCAGTGCCTCTGTGGGTATCTCCAGAACTATCTTTAGATTTGATGTCTCTTCTGAGTTTTTGGCTGAACATTTCATCAAATAATTTTTTTTTTGAAATGGAGTTTCGCCCTTGTTGTGGCTGGTGTGCACCGGCGTGATCTTGGCTCACTGCAACCTCCGCCTCCCAGGTTCAAGCGCTTCTCCTGCCTCAGCCTCCTGAGTTGCTGGGATTACAGGCATGCACCACCACGCCCAGGTCATTTTATATTTTTGGTAGAGACAGGGTTTCTCTATGTTGCTCAGGCTGGTCTCAAACTCCCAACCTCAGGTGATCCGCCCGCCTCGACCTCCCAAAGTGGGTGGATTATAGGTGTGAGCCACCGTGCCCGGCCATTTCATCAAATAAATACTTATTGAAATACTTAAGTACTGCTGGGCTTAGTGGCTCACGACTGTAATCCCAGCACTTTGGGAATCCAAGGTGGGCAGATCACCTGAGGTTGGAGTTCGAGACCAGCTGGACAACATGGTGAAACCCTGTCTCTACTAAAAATACAAAAATTAGCTGGGCATGGTGGCGGGCGCCTATAATGCCAGCTACTTGGGAGGCCGAGGAAGGAGAATTGCTTGAACTTGGGAGTTGGAGGTTGTAGTGAGCCGAGATCGCGTCATTGCACTCCAGCCTGGGCGTTGAGCAAGACTCCGTCTCAAAAAAGAAAAATTAAATAAAAAAAATGAAATACTTACTATTAAAGAGATGTTCCATAAGCACTTGACAGGTACCTATCTAGGGTTGAAGCTTACCAGCACTTAGCTGCCCACCCATATCAGCAGCCCTCCCCATCCTCACTATTTCTGTTAGTGTCTAATAGACTAGTTATAGCAACTAAAGTGTGAAATCTCAATTTTTTTTTATTGTCCACCGCTTTCAGTCATGTGCTAAATTCTGTTTTTACCTCTGTACCCCTTTTCGTAATGCTAATCTGAACTAGTTCACTAGTTTTTTTATTTCATTGCCTTTCCTGTAAAACTCAGCCTTTTGTAGCATCATCTCATCCAGCAGACAAGACAACCTTGAATAAATAATTTCCCCTATCCCTGTATCATAATCATAAGTGGCTTGCCAAATGGAAGAAATCTGAATTCTAGCCTCAAATTTAAGACCACTGTCTAAGACTACAAGTTACTTACACAAGATAAGGTGACATGGTCTTGCCAGTATCTGCTAAAGTGTAGTCATACCACTTTACTAATCTAGTGCTCAGTTTCTTCATAATTAAAATACTGTCTAGGATTTTGTGCCATTTCTGCCTTGTTTCTAGCTATTCTGTCAATCTTAAATAAAATGCCTTTTACTCCTCAGTGACTTTTTTCTTTCATTTTTAAATCAAGATAGGGTGTCACTATGTCTTCCAGGCTGGTCTCGAACTCCTGGACCCAAGCGATCCTCTCCCCTTGGCCTCCCAAAGTGCTGGGATTGTAAACTTAAACCACCACACCTACCTTTCAGGGTTTTGGGCCTTTTTTTTTTTTTTTTTTTTTTTTTTTTTTTGAGACAGAGTCTTACTCTGTTTTCTGGGATGCTGGAGTGCAGGGGCACAGTCTCGGCTTGCTGCATCCTCGACCTCCCAGGCTCAAGGTGATCCTTCCATCTCAGCCTCCCAAGTAGCTGGGACTATTAATTAGCAAGGCACATGCCTGGCTAATATTTGTATTTCTTGTAGAGTCTCAAACTTCTGGACTTAAGCAATCCACCTGCCTCAGTCTCCCAGTGTGCTGGGATTACAGACTTGAGCCACAGTGCCTGGCTGATATTTGTCCCTTTGTATCTAGCTCATTTTACTTGGCATAATATTTAGAAGATTCATGTTCAAAAAAAAAAAAAGGAAGGAGATTCATGTTTTGGTAGCCTGTGTCAGAACTTCATTCCTTTTTATGGCAGAATTACTCATTGTATGTACATACTGTATTTTGTTTATCCATTCTACTGCTGATGTACACTTGGATTGTGTCCACCTTTCACTATTGGGAGTAATGCTGTGGTAGATGTTGCTGTGCTAATACCTATTTGAGTCCCCATTTTTAATTTTTTTGGGTGTATATGTAGGAGTGGAATTACTGGGTCATGGTAATTCCGTGTTTAACTTTTTGAGAAACCACCAAACTTTCTCAAAGCAGCTACATCCGTTTTACATTCCCAACAGCAGTATATGAGGGCTCCAGTTTCTCCACATCCTTGCCAACTTGTTTTCCACATTTGTGATTATAGCCATCCTGCTAGGTATGCAGTGGTGGTATGAAGTGGTAGCTTTGCCTTTCCCCGGTGATGAGTGATGTTGAGCATCTGTTTTTTTTTTTTTTTTTTTGAGACGGAGTCTTGCTCTGTCTTCCAGGTTGGAGTGCAGTGGTGCAATCTCCAGTCACTGCAAGCTCCGTCGCCTCCCGGGTTCACGCCATTCTCCTGCCTCAGCCTCCCGAGAAGCTGGGACTACAGGCGCTCGCCACCTCGCCCGGCTAATTTTTTGTATTTTTTAGTAGAGAGGGGGTTTCACCGTGTTCGCCAGGATGGTCTCGATCTCCTGACCTCGTGATCCGCCCGCCTCGGCCTCCCAAAGTGCTGGGATTACAGGCGTAAGCCACTGCGCCCAGCTGATGTTGAGCATCTTTTTGTGTTTATTGGCCATTTGTGTATCTTTGTTGGAGAAATGTCTATTCAAATCCCGCTGCCCATTTTTTAAGAGTTGTCTTCTTGTATTTGAGTTCTCTATGTGTTCTGGGTACTAGACCCTTGTCAGAAATATGATTTGCAAATATTTTCTCTCATTTGGTGGGTTGTCATCTTACTTTCTTCCTTTGATGCATGAAAGTTTTAAATTTTGATGAAGTCCAGTTTATCTGTGTTTTCTTTGTTGCTTGTGCTATAAATAAAACACTCACTGCACTTCCCAGATCTTCTCCCTGAATTGTTTTGAAACAAATCTTAGCTATCTTACTTAATGTTAACACCTAAAAATAATAACAGTAGTATCTTAATATAATCAAATAGCTTGTGCTTTATATTGATGTCAGACACTGTCGTCAGGCAGAGAACTCGTTACCGAAAGTTTCTCTTCTCTGCTTCTTCCCAGTTACTTATATCAAATTGCACATCTTGGAGATGATGATGAAGAACCTGAGTTTTCATCAGCCATGCCTCTGGAAGAAGGAGACACATTCTTTTTTCAGCCAAGACCACTTAAAAACCTTGTGCTGGTTGATGAGTTGGACAGCCTCTCTCCCATTCTGTTTTGCCAGGTTGGTGGGTCTTTCCAGTCCCTTCCACAATCAATCTAAAGTTAAACTGAGATCTAGTCTAAGAAATAGCTTTATTAGTATTTCCTTGAACTCGCCAGTGTGTAAAGCAGTTAGAGGTAGAAGTGTGAGCATAAAAAACCATTAATAAGTCCTTGGGCTTTTTTTCCCATAATGATGAAACTCACGTTTAATGTAAAAATTCAGATCATATTCCTGTACTGCTTGCTGGGGAGGAAAAAAATCAGACCATGTAAAAAGTGGAAAGTAAAAGTCCTCCCTATAATCTTCTCACCCGTCCGCTCCATTGAACCATATTGCTTATGTTAACAACTTCTTGTAACTGCTTCCAGGTGTTTTATCTGCATTTAGAATCATGTATATGTTTATGTGTTCTGTCTTTTTCTTTTTAAAATAAGTGGAGTCATATACTCCACAGTATTCTGTGGTTGACCTCTTGTCATATAACAGTCTACATATAGCTGTATTTACTTCATTTTACCACGGTTCCTCTTTAAAATAGTTCTGAGACATTGGGATCAGTTGGTAACAGAAAGTTTTGAATCACCACCTCAAGGAGGAACCTGCAGTGGCACAAGAATGAAGATTGTGTCTCTCATTGGTGGTGCTCAGTTGTGACAGCCAGGAATTTGATCATGCTGTTGCATCCTCAATTGCCAGGGTTTGAGTGACCATTAGGGACCACCTGTGTAGTTAATCACACTTCTGATGGGAAAGGAGCTTGTTCACTGGGTACTGGGGAAACAAATCAGCATTCAGACAGGTTTAATTACACCCATCTGAAATTAATTGCTTTGTTCTTCCTTTGTGAGAAATGATTAGTCTTGAGGGCAACAGAAAATAAGTGTGACTAACTTCTTTTCTTTCTTTCTTTTTTTTTTTTTTGGAGACGGAGTCTCGATCTGTCGCCCAGGAGGCTGGAGTGCAGTGGCGTGATCTCAGTTCACTGCAAGTTCCGCCTCCCAAGTTCATGCCATTCTCCTGCCTCAGCCTCCCTAGTAGCTGGAACTGCTAGCGCCTGCCACCACGCCCAGCTAATTTTTTGTATTTTTAGTAGAGGCGGGGTTTCACTGTGATCTCCTGACCTCGTGATCTGCCTGCCTTGGCCTCCCAAAGTGCTGGGATTATAGGCGTGAGCCACCACGCCCGGCCAAGTGTGACCAATTTCTAATTTGATTATTAGTGATTTTTCCACCTTCATTGCAATTTGAATAAATAATGTGTGTAAATAGTTTATTCATCAAGAATAAAATTAGCCAGGCATGGTGGCCCATGCTTGTAATCCCAGCACTTTGGGAGGCCGAGGTGGGCAGGTCACCTGAGGTTGGGAGTTTGAGACCAGCCTGACCAACATGGAGAAACCCTGCCTGTACTAAAAACAACAACAACAACAACAACAAAACAAAATTAGCCAGGTGTGGTGGCACATGCCTGTAATCCCAGCTACTTGGGAGGCTGAGGCAAGAGAATCACTTGAACTCAGGAGGCGGAGATTGCGGTGAGCTGAGATCGCGCCATTGTACTCAGCCTGGGCAACAAGAGCACAACTCCGTCTCAAAGAAAAAAAAAAAAAAAGACTGGGCATGGTGGCTCATGCCTGTAATCCCAGCACTTTGCGAGGCTGAGGCGGACGGATCACAAGGTCAGGAGATCGAGACCATCCTGGCTAACGTGGTGAAACCCTGTCTACTAAAAATACAAAAAAAATTAGCCAGGCGTGGTGGCGGGCGCCTATAGTCCCAGCTACTTGGTAGGCTGAGGCAGGAGAATGGCGTGAACCCAAGAGGCGGAGTTTGCAGTGAGCTGAGATTGTGCCACTGCACTCCAGCCTGGGCAACAGAGCCTCCGTCTCCA